CAAAGCCCAGCATTCAGCCCCCCGGCCCAGCCTGCCATGGAGAACCTAAAAGGCAAACAGGGGGCTATTCTTAGCAGCATCTCCATGCAGCCAGGACTTGGGGGGATGCCAGGTGCGAGTCCCGGCTGGGGCAGGCTAGCGGCTACCCCCGCAACCTGCCACCTTCAGCTACAGCCCAGCGTTCGGGAGCATGACCAGCTCCGTCCTCTCATCTGCTGGGATGCCCGCTGCTTTCCCAGCCAGGAACAGGCAGGCTTCCCGCTGCAGGGCACTGGAGTGAGACTGGCATCTCTGTCGCCAGCTGTGGCCTCACACGCATGCACACACACTCATCACACACACACACGCCCTTTTCACACGCTTGCTGACACTCTAACAACAAGCTGGCGGTTTATCAGCCCTAGCATGTCAGTAGCTCTTCTCCCCCCAGCTTAACCCACGTCTCGGTCAGTTCCCGGATGCGCTGTCCCCTGCTCTCTGATTGTGCATAGAGAGGCTCCCGTGCATTCGTGTTTGTGTCCAGGTGTGTGCCTAAGTGCACAAAAACACACCCAGCCATGAGTGTCTGAGTGTGCATGAGACCGCGCACTAGCATACAGCCATGAAAGGAAAGTGCAGAAGGCGGAGGAGAAGATGCATAAGCACATGGGAATACAAATACGTGCAGCAGCAAGCCAAAGAACACACATGGGCAAGCTGGAATGTGTGCGACAACGTGCACAAGTGTGCAGTTATGCAAGGTTGAAGAACGTGCACGAGAGTGAGGGAGCCATAGCACGCACAAGTGTGCAAATGTGAAAAATGACGTGTCGCATGCAAGAGCGAAGGATGTGTATGTGTCAGCGTGCCATGCCACGGACATGTGTGCAAATGTGAAAGACAGCGTGCAAGCGTGTGAGAATGAAGAGCGTGTGTGAGTGTGCACGGACGTGAGCACACACGCGTACGTGAGTGTGCAGGAACACGCGGCGCTCCTAGAAAGGTGGGAGCGCTGATCCGTTCATGAGCTCTGTATAGCAGAGGAGTTGCGGAGCTGCGTGAGACGGGAGGACAGGGTCACAAACCGGGCCCTCAGGACAGGTGTGCGAGGGAGGCAGTGGCACTACATGCCAATGCCCAGCGATATGCCAGTCCGGTCATGTCCCAAATCCGGCAGCCGATCCTGCGAGCAAAGCTGATCGGTCTGGGCACCACATACTGGCACCCCAGCTCAGCCCGGGCTGTTGCATGCTCTGCGGTGCGAGCCGTCAATGCGCTCCCAAGGCCCTGGCTGTCTCCAGCAATCCCTGCCAACCCTGCCCGTGATGATCCTCTGCAACTTCATCTCTACAATAACATTTTACATCCAGGTGCCTTGTGGGTTTAATTGAATGTCAAACATAATCTGGCGAAGGTAACCGAGTTCAGGCAACTGCCCTTCCAGAACAATCACCGCTCGGGCACTCACAGAGACACTGAGCCTGCTCACAGCAGCCTCAGAGATCCCCAGGGGGCGCGCGACACGGGCGATCGTGCCATGCAGCTCTGCCGGGCACCCCTCCCCTCGAGGCTGCCCACCTGCATCTGGCCCAGGACAGCGCCGGCTGCTGGGGAACTGGCCTGTAGTGAGTTTGGAGGGGTCTCTGCTCACATGGCCACACTGCGAAAGCCTTCATCCCAACAGGCACGGGCTGGCAGCGAGAGACCAAGGACAGACTGCACCGTGGAGACGCCCACCGCACTCCAGCCTGCCCTGGTGCTGGAGAAAGGGCATATTCTCCCTCCCCCGATGCAGAACCTGAACCCCGAGAGATTCAGCGACTTACCCCCCGTCACCCAAGAAGCTTGAACTTTTACTGCCACTAAATAATTACTGCCTGACCCGCCCCCCCATAACGTCCCACAACTGTGAACATTTCTACACATACACATGTAAAAAAACCTGCTTACAAATAAACATGGATCTTCTCCATCGAAATTATCAACACCCGCAGGCAGAAAAAAATTCGGCCCAAGTCAGCTACCCAACAGGACAGCCGACAGCACGCCAGCCTCTTCTCACGGGGAGCCACAGGGCGCCTTTACGCTGCAAACAAAATCATAAACAAACACCGGGCAGCAAGTCTCAGGGCCTGGGGCAGCTGACTCAGGCTTGTGCTACAGGGACAAAACTAGCAGTGTCGACGTTCCTGCTTGGTCTGGACACTGAGACACCCCCACCTTGCCGGCTTTCGGAGCCCAGCAGGAATGTCTACACCTACGTTTAGCTCCGGAGCGCAAGCCCGAGTCAGGTGATCCAGACTGGGAGACCCACAGGGGTTGTTTTTGGCTGGGGTTTTGGGGGGCTTTTTGCGCTGTGGATGTAACCCTAGACAACAGGGCCTCAGCGCCCACTCTTGGAATCCCGCACTGTCCCAGGGCTGCCCGAAGCCAACCGCGGCGTTACTGCGCAGACAGCCTACAGTCCCCGGTACTAACACACAGAGGTCAAGGCAGCCTGCTCCCAGGACACACAGGGGGTGCTGGCTCTCCCAAGCTCTGTCCCCATCTCGTGGGCTCTGCGGGGCTCCAAGCGCGGATCCCCCCCCCAGGGAAAGTGGCTGCGCCAGGCCGCCGGTTCCTAGCCTTCCATCTAAATTTGCATTTGAAAAAAGCACCCCGAGATCTCCCTTGGAAGGAAGCGGTTTATAACCCCGTGGCTGGAAGAGAGCAAGGGTTATTCGGAGGGATTTGCCCAGGAAGACATTTCGCTCCGGATAGAAATGCTGAAGCCCGGTAAAGAGTAGCCAGTAATGCCCCAGGCCTGAGCCGATGAGAAGAGCAGGAAGCAGCGCCCCAGATAAGGACAGGTCCCTGCCAAACTGCTCCACCACCCGCCCAGGCTCCCGTCAGGCTGGGGGAACATCTGCGATGGCCCACGGGGCGGCTACTCCTGGCCACAGCTCTCAATTCCGGCACCAATTCGGCTCTCGCACTGTTTGATTTACACAATGCTGCTGCTCCCCTCCAAACACACAGAGCCCTCGTCAGCCCGATGGTCCCCGTTTGGAGAACTGACCCAGAAATAGGGACTAGCGCCTACCCCTTAAAGCAAGGGGCACGACTCAGCTGAGTGCATGAGCCAGCATGAAGCCTCTCTGGTTACCAGCCACTGGCCAGAGGGCTCCGGCGCCCAAACGGCGGATGCTGGTGGAGCTTGGGGAGTGGCCCACTACTGGAAGAGCAGGGGGCGCTGTGGGTCCAGACCGAGATGCACTGGTGGAGCTGGGGGAGGTGGCCCAGGGCTGGAA